CAAGCTTGTAACGTCACACTTTTATGATTTAGTTTACATAAAATTATACTACATGAAATTGACATGGAAACGGTATTTAAAAAATGAAAAGGATAATTGGTCGAAGATTTGTTTTCTATTTCTATTAATTAACTTTACGATGATGTCTAAGACTAAAATGCAGAAGGATCGATGCGTTGATGTTTGAATCACGCGATGGCCGCCAACGCGGTAAACAAAGTCGAAACCGCATTCCCGCGGAATTCTCCGCGGAACTAAACTCTGCGGTAACGGCAGCCTCGTGATGGAATTTTATTGTAACTGTTCCGGGCGCTGTACGTTTCAGCCGGTGAGAACTTTAAGCGCAACATATCGTAAAGCGGCGAGATAAGAAATAAAGTTCTCGCGGCTGGATAACGTATCACATTCGACAGGAAAATACGGAATGCAATAAAATCAAAAGTTTGAATGCACCATAAAGTTTCGCAAAAATATCTTCTTTTCAGAAATGCAGATTGAATTTCCTGTGTGTGTATACGCGCTTTGAACCATTTTTAATCAACGTGAGCAGATAACCATTTGTAGTAATTAATTGTTTATCACTTTCATTAACTTTAATTACCCCGTACGGATTTCACATTCGATGTATGATCAGACCATCGTACTTCAACGAATCATTTATTTTTTCAAAACTCTGTACAATAGAGAATGTTTCTGTTATTCCAAATGGACTATTGTTATAAACTCGTTCTATATTCCTTTCATGCTTAGCATAGCTACCAATCATGTAACCTGGTAAAATAACAATTCTCTGGTTTTCCTGTCGACTCAATCATCGCGCCAATTTTATGGTGAAAATTTCAATTTCAAACGCGTAGACACAAAGGATGGGCATTAAGACTAGACGTGAGGAAACACGATACGCGGTTGTTTCGCGCGCTCCAATTTACACCGTTCGCGAGCCAGGCCGACGATCATAATTAAAGAAAAAAGGCATACTCTGGGAATACGATCCGGCGATAGGGCCATAAACGCGAAAGAATTCGAAACTCGAGCGTTACCCCTTTTTTTCACTAGTTGCACTCATACCAGTGATCGCGCATTGTTCGCCGCTTTGAAATTATTTTTTTTGTATCGTCACAATCGTCACATCTGGCTGTGGAAGGGAACAGGGTTGCTACTGGGCCTCCATTTTCCACTCTCTCTCTCACACCTTTTAACGTTCTCTTTTTTCCTCCCCGTCCTCTATTTGGGGTGGTTTTCGGTTTCGCGACAGGTGGCACGGCAAACGATACCGTTGCTCGAATAATTGCATTTTCGAATTGTCGTTTCCTCCCCTATGGCGGAGCGTCGTTTCGCCGTTCTTTGTGCTCGACCATAGAACCGGTATCGAGGAAAGAGTTCTTTTTTTTTTTTCCCTTTTTTTTGTTACCTTCACCGTTCGAAACTCGTCTCCCTCGAGGGATCCCCGACGGAATTCAATGGCCGATTTCAATGGACTGTAGAAGATAAAGATACGTGAAAAGCTACTCCTCGATATACGTTCGATACCTCGAAAATTGTTTTCCCTTACGTTTCCTAAGCTTCTTCCTACTTTCGTTAGATTTACCTCCGTTTCATTTCTTTCTTCTCGTTCCGCTCATTATTAGAGGCGGTTTAGCGAATCTAAGAATCTTTCCCACTCCGAAGCTGTCCTTCCGAACGCAACGCGAATCTGTCAATTCCTTGGCTACTATCCGCTTAAAATTTATGAACTTCCCAGGAACTCGTCGCATCTGCTTGTCGACACTTCGTCAATATGTTTCCGTGGAACAACGGCAAAATAATGCCACGACGAAGTCTAATACTTAGCTATAAGATCAAGCTAGATGACGTCACAGTTGGATCAGACTTCGATTACTGTTTCAAATTGTTCAATATCTATAAAAATTGGATCTAAGCATCGTCCGAGGAAATAAATTCGCCAAATTGGCGTTCGAAACGGAACCGAAAGTAAGACTTCGTTGGCCACGCGAGATAACCCGTTATCCGGGGCCACAGTATCGGACAAAAAGTAGACAGAAACGAGGTGGAACAAAAGAAACGGCAGAGTGAAGGTTAATGGCAATTCCGATGGAGGCATTACAGACGAGAAAAGGACAACTAGTTTCGGTCTTTCTAAAAACGATTGCAACGTGGCCGACAGAGGCAAGTGGCGGTGTTCAGCCGGCCGTCTCGAGACTCGCGATTGCCCGGAAGGGTTAAAAAGCAATTTTCCTTCCACGTCCAGTAGGCGGAGCTGCAGGTGACCGGCCATGGTAACGTCGACTATCGCGAAATCGACTTCGGCTTCGACAAAGCAATTTCGGATTCAATCTCCGCGGAACGAAACCGTCCTGTCCGCACGTGTCGCACCTCGCGCCGATCAACAAGAGCCGCACCTGTGCGCAGCGAAAAAATTTAACTGAATAGGAGACGATGCTAAATGAAAGTGCTGGAACTGGTTTGAAGCGGCTGTCAAAGAAGATTGCAGCCGGATTCATTGGTGCAATTATGTTCTGCGGCGATGCGAATGTTCTCTCTTCTTCCCCGGTTGCAAGAGAAATTGACCAGGGAGTTCATTGCAGTATAATTTATATATTTATTATATACAAGTTGAATAAAGATTTACTACATGGAATCTCAATTATATACAAATTGAAGTAGAGGGCGATCTAAATTCTGATAACTGCATGGGATGTTACATAGCATGATGTAAAAACATAAGGTGTGTTCTTGCGCATCCATTTGAACATCCATCTGTACATGGACACTTCCACTCGTTGGCCATTTTGGATTTCTAACCAATCACACTTCATATTAAAACAGAGCGAATTTTAAAATCGTAAACATGTCAAAAATTAGGTTCTCGGAGAGTAATATATATGCGTGTTTGAAATAAACAATAGATCATCGTACTTCCAATATGGCCGATGAGTGGAAGGCGCAAACAGCGACACATTTGAACACGCCGGAAGAACACACCTTATGTTTTTACATCATGTTACATAGTAGATATATCCAAGAAGAATACAATGTCCCTACACGCAGCATTTCTAAACTGTCACGACGACTCAATCCCGTAACCCAAACGACACTGGCTTAATACTTTCAGCCAAACGGCGAAACAGCCGTGAAAAAACATTCGTTGTTTTTTTCGAACTCGCCTATCGTTCACGGATACAGAATAACAGCCAAATGAAAAGAGGCGTACATGGTAAAACTGTCTGTGAAAAACAGGCTCCGCAAAATGTCACAGAATTTCACCGCGACGGGCGACGAGTCCATTTTCAGCCGGGCTCGTGCATTAAGCCGAACGTCGCGTCACGTCGATTGTTCGACGCGCGGTGCGTATCCAGCCGGAATGAAAGAAAAGCCGGGATGAAAGAGTGCGTGGAAAAATCGGGACACGCACTCCTCGCTTACAATAGGGACGCTTAGCGACGGCGTACGGAGTAGTCGTCAGCTGTCGCGATGAGTGTTGGCGACGTTTTCGGCCAACATGATTGACAGTTTTATGGGGTACGAACCCGGAGGAGGACGTTCTGGGATTTACGATCCGGGGCTCAGGAGTGAGATCAATCGTTATGGCCCGCTTGATGCTAATGCTACGACAACATTGAATGAAATTGGCCAATTTTCAGCCGCAATCATCTTCATTTAAATAACTTAAGAATCATTCAATAAGCACAGAATCGTGATAAAAAAAATTAAGATGGATACAACCGTTCAGCATCACGTTTCATGTTTGTATCACCTTTGATAGTCATTTAACTGTTTTTTATCAACAAATATTTTCTCTTACATAACTGATAGGTAGAAGATGTACAGTGTACAGTACAAAGTTTGTATACAGTACAAAGTATGTTGAGGTATTATAATGTTATAGGATGTGTATGGAGAGATACCAGTGGTATACGTGTGTGGGAGAAACGTTATGTTGTAAGTTGCGGTTTTTTTTCAATTGCGTATGGCAAAGTACGTTAGTAGGGATACGCTTAGGTAGACTACATAGGGACTCTATTATCAACCAAAGACTAGAAGTGAGGTAATTTAAGAAAATGTGCAAATAGAAATGTGATTATTTTATTACTATTGCTCAGAGACTATAAGAGTTGGTATGTGTATATGTGAAGCAATAGTATTGTACTATCCTAGTCCATTTCTAGTCCCAAGTGACCGAAATAAATCATATTAATAACTAACAGTAAAATTAAAAATTGTAATTTTTGATTATTACATGGAATGTAATTTTTAATATTCATATTTATGCATTACGCTATAGTTTTGTACGAAAGTTTTCATGAACAATTACTACTGAAATATTGTATCGTTTTAATTCGCCTTAGGACTGATTCGCGGAATGGTGCCTGAAGATACATATGTCGTAATATTCTGCAGCTTTGGTATCGTGTCAGTGTGAATGCGAAGCGAATGTAGGTTATAAATGTAAATTAGTTCTTCTGTTGCTTCTGTGCCAGCTGTGCGGTTCCTCTGTGTATTGGGAATGAACCGTGGGATGTGCACTGGTGGATACATAAAGGAAGGATGATCTAATAAAATTGAAGTCGATATTTGACACGCTCGAGAATTTCTCGTTGTTTTCATGGATATAAATGCAAAATGTATGAGTATCTCGAAAAAGGGTGCAATACAATTTAGTTCTACCTATTTGTACCATAAAACGGGACGTCCATTAATTGTGCTATTAAAACTTGCTTCACAGTTTCCTTTGTAAAAAGAATTTTTACGCGGTCTTTCATAGCTATTATAGATAGCACTGGATCACCCTAAGAGTATTTTAAAGTTTTCACTCGAACCAACTTTGTTCTCATCACGGAACTTTGGAAACGAGCATTAAAAGTTATTAGACACAGCGATCAGTAACTTTAATATCTCATGAAATTTTAGAAATTGTCAATTGCACTCTCAACTGACCGGTTAAATTCTCTACTTGGGAGACCTGTGATAAAAAATTACAAACTGTATAAAATGGTGCTCACCTCGCAGTTGGAATGGCTGATGTTGCTCAAATTCAGCCTGAACACCTTGTCCCTGTAACAAACAAAGAAACGTTAATGATCCATGGTTAACCAAATAACAATTCGCATTAAGCGAAGTGATATAGTTTGAAACCGGATGTGAATTTTTATTCCGTACGCTCGACGCGCGAGATACATTACATTGCGCTGCTACACTCGACTGCAAAGTCTATCTTATCTAACCACGTTATACAAGGTGATCCAAGAATCATAATACAACAGGCTTGGGTGGTGAACCTAGATACGATAAGTCGAAAAAAGGAATAAAATGTTTCCAGTTAATGCTTGGTTTTCGAGAGAAATGAGTTTGTGAAATATATAAATGAGCGATATGCGTGCTGGATTAGTCGTGCAGCCACAAGTCACCTAGATTGCCAGATTTAATACTTCTCAATTTTTTTTATGGCCTTTTATTAATTCAAATGGGTACCTAAGTCAGAGATAATAATACCGTTGAAGTATTAAAAACAATAGTAGTTTTCGTCTTTAGAGATATGAAAAATAAGCATAATTTTCTGTAAGAAGTGCATAATAATTTACTCGAATTAAAAATTGCCTCCTCTATTTTTTAGTTATAACCGATTAATTATTGCACCTACTGATAGGCAAATTTGCCTATCGCTTGTAGTTATTAGGGGCAATACGTGTTTAAAGCTCAAAATGGAGTCTCAAACGGAATGTTGCCTTAATTTGGCTTCTAGAATGACTGCTTAAAATTTTTCCACTAGTAGCCCTATACATACAATTGTACATAATAATAACATATTGGATACTTATTACAATAATAAAATTATTCTTAAAACATACTAATTTTATCCTTATTTATGAAAACTTTAAATCACGAAAGCTGCACGAAACGAATCGTTAGATTGCTAATGTTTAACAATACTGATACGAGGAGAAGAAAAATATTCATACTTCTTAATTTCAAGTTAACACAGTTATCTGACGGGTTTTCAAACTCGTTTTTTTCGAAAACCAAGTCGTGAATGAAAAACAGTATTCTTTATTTCGAGTTCGTTTTGCATGCAAAATGTACCACGATTTGTGGGGCACCGTGTATGTATATGGCGGTGTACGAGGTTGTAATACTTTCCTTTCTGCATTCTGGCCCGCAGAGAAGGCCACGGAATTTCTATGAGCGTCGAAGGGGATCATGAAACCTACCATCCCTTATCTTCCTGTCCCCTGCACTTTCTCTAACTTTCCCCATTCCCGTTCAGTCGTTTGGATTTTATTAGAATTTCCGTCTTTGAAGCACGAATTTTCATCGGAAGATATTCAGTCAAAAAATGAAACCAATCGAGCGTCTTAAATAGTTGAAAAAAATCTATTTAAACTCGCGATAATTAGTAAATATTATTATAATCGTTTATATTATTCGATACGTATTTATGTGTACATACTAAAATTCTTCTATCGTCTGTACAATGTCCAATTGTGTTGGTTCATGTAATTTTTATTAACTTAGTGAATATGTTAGGTTTCCTAGAAAGGTTTCGTGGCGTTTTTGCGGTCGAAACGAGCTGTTCGCTAAGCTAAGGTGATTGAGAACGGGAATTTGAAACGATCAAAGCTCGTACTGGTTTGATTACACGGTTGCTCGTAGGCATGTTTAATTTTCTACATTTCCGGATCTACTTGCTAAGGATTCCGTGAATCTACAGGAACGAGAAAATTCGAGTCGGTTGGCCCAGAAATTGGAAACGGGAAACATCGGAATATCCCAGAGGGCTGCTCTACATAAGAAAAGTGGATAAACGAACCTGAGAGGATACGTTGAAAATAAAATAAAATTACAAATGAATTGAATTTCATTGTTACTAGCTGTACTACAACTTCGAAAATTACTCAAATGAACGATAACAGAATTTGGAATTTTTTCTGTCGCTGACAATCGCATTGGACGTTTGATTAAATTAAAAATAAAAGTACTATCCATTGGTGTGAACATGTAAAACATACGCAGCGTGGCATGCAAATCGAATTTATTCAGTTTCGAAACGTTTACGCTTTACGTTAACGCCGATACCGCATAACTTTATTTCAATAACCATTCATCATTGGCCTTTCAATAGAAAACACAATCGAATAGAATGCGGCCGAAGAAAAAGAAAAGAAAAAGGGAAAGGAAACGAAAGGAGAAGCGAGGGGTTGATTGCTTCCTCGCTTTCTTCTCACTCACTCTTTGTGCGCCGCCGTGAAAAAGTAAATAGCGACGTGGAAAAACAAATCCGTACAATGGAATGCGGCCGCTCCTTCGGTGCACGGAGTTTCCGGGAGCAAAAGACGAGGGCGGAAGCTTGTACGTGCGAGCTCGTCGCTCGAGGATCGGCAAGGAACGAGGAGAGGGAGAAAAAAATTCGTACGAAAGCAATTTGCGGGGGTGATCGATGGTGGCGGAAACGCGGGAGAGCGTAAAGTCATCGCGTTTTCGATTTAAAAAACTGCCCAGTCAGCTTCGAAATGTCGGACACCCCGTGGCAACACCCCCCCGATCTCCTTTGCGGCTGTCCCGCGGAGAATTTTCACCGTTCCCGTTATTTCTACGATTGCCTTTGGGACCGGAGTCGTAAAGTTTTTTTTATAACACCGTATACAAATACATAATATATAAAAGATTTTATTTTCTTTACTTTGAATCTTATTATTGAAATGAATAATTTGCATTCAATATATCTGTCAGTATACTTTTCCAATTTCGTTTCATCAAGAGTAAAAATAATGATTATAATTTCAGAAAATGTTTCAAGTATTTTAGAACATTGGTTACATAAATTTATAACAGAAAACATTATTGGGAAGATAATTAATAAAACCTGAGCTCTTGACTTCAAACAGTTTCCGAAAATAAATACAAAAGCAGACTCTCAGTTATGAAACTGACATCCGTTAATTAAAAACGAAGCAAGCTCGACACGATTATTAAATATCTGCACACTTCTCTCTGATCTTTTTATTCTCCAGACCTGTATGTATTGTATCCTCATTTCCAAACATTCATCGGATAATCCAATAGCGCGGAAAATTGTATTTATTATAAAAAGAAAATAAAATAAAAATACCGAGAGTCTGTGCAGGATCTCACAATGAAAATTGTATTCGACATTTCTCGCCGGAAATTAACACAGCAGTCGGTATACACCATGACGAGTCAATATGTAACAATGATCGAGCAAATACGCTACAGTGAAATTCTTTAGTCAAATGAATTTTACTGTTAACAGTGAAAAAATTTCATTCAAACCAGTGAGTATAATAAAGCGTCTTTGATTCGCGCGGAGCGATTCCCTTTGTGAAATATCTCCGAGTTGAACGCAATTACTTACTATTACATGGGAGCGGAATGAAGTGAGAGGGAAAATAGTAAAAATAGTAATAGTAGAGAGGGAAACGATTATTAAGGCAGCCGGTGTAACAAATATACGCTTATCGATTTCTGACGTCTATAGTTGCATTATGGCGTATCAATTGCTGAAACGATTGGCTCCGATCATCCGTGAAATCTAATCACATCACATTGGTCGGATTTCGATTGATTCGCTAAATGCGTTTGCCATGTTTCCGGAATCGCGCCACACCGTTGCCTGTTTAATTATGTAAAATATAGCCAAGTATCGTCGAACGCGTGCTATTTCAACCGTTTTACACCCCCGACGTTCTAACGGTCATCAAATAATTCTTATCTCTGTCGTTAGAACTACCACATTTCAATAAAAAATATAGATTTAAATTAAAACACACTCCTTAGTCTTTTAATTATTATTTTATTTGTTGTACTCATTCATTTCTTGCAACTTTGATTCCAGATATTTTTATAAAAAGAAATAGCCAAGGATACGAATCAATTTTAAAAGTTAATTAAATCTCCCGTAGTACGAAAATAAATTTGCATTGTAGCAAACACGCGATCGATTTCCGTAGACTTTATTTTCATTAAGAGGCGCGCCGCCGGTCTGTACCGGTACATAGGTCGATGCACCAACGAGGTATGTTGAATTAGAATAGAGAACGAACCGTGACGCGAGGACTGAATTGGACTTCATTCGATGAGCGAAGCGCAATGCATCTCATTACTCGCACGACAAAGGAGTTTCAAGTTAGTGGAGCGAAACAAAGTTAAGCGGGCCCGCGTGAATTTTTATGAACGCGTAATATCTACCATAAATACGCCCTCCCTTCAATATCTTCTGCGCTATAACGTGACGTGTGCTCACAAAATTTAATTAAAACCAAAGTTGTATATCCTCGTTCATAAATATGGACACCTTCGTAGTTGAAATATTTTTTAAAAACAACTTTATGGAATCATTAATGAACTCTGCTAAATTCTATGTATCGATTTTATTCCGTATTAGAAAATAAATTTAGCATTCTATCAACAATACTAAAACGGGATAAAATGTTAATGGCATAAATGTTATTTTAATTTTGGTTCTCTATGATCTAAGTCAGAATATTTCACATTTCTTAAAAATTGTTGTTAAATATATGTATATCCGTCATAAAATTCAGCCACAGACATTAGTTTGTCACGATAATAAAGTTGTATGTTAATAGCTCATGAAAAACAGCAAACGTCCACATATTTCTTGAACATTTACAGAATTTACTATAAACCTCATAAAAAATTAAATGAGAACATTTCGTATACAATTAAGTGCCAGTTCACTAAATAATGTACTCTTTTAGTGAAATGTAAATTGTCATAAATATATAACATTTATTTCACCGTAGAAAAGTGACAGGCGTTTCTAATGTATGAACGATACGCTGTGGGAGCCAGTATTTGCGTTTATTATCAATAACGACTAATCGATACCACTTTTTCATAGTACTCTATACAGTGCGTACAAGTATATGATCCGTAATACCTACTTATAAGACGTCTATATAATTCTAAGCTCTTTCCAGCCGTCACCACGGACGACGCTCCTCGATACCGTGAATCCTTATTTCCCGGCGATCGTTATGCAAAACGCTCGTAAATCTGCCGTCATAAAATGCCGCGGAGGAGGAGACCGATACAGAAATGAAAGGGTCCGCGAGAAAATAACGAATAGGCTGAGCGTGCGAGAAGAAGGGTATATAGAATTTCCATAAAAGACTCTACATACATACATATTACATATATTGTACACTGCGCCATGAGATAGAAGGATTTGGTGGCATGACACTCGGTGGAGACTAGATTCTCGGCCGCGATACACTTTCTCTATCGACTTTTTTTTTGTCCTCGAGACCCGTCAAGCCAGGATCCGGAGCTTGATAATTGGAAGCGTTCAATTAGCGTGCCTTAATTGTGGAGCGAACCGCAACGCGGCTGCCGATTTTCAAACTACAATTAATGGGTATCACCTTTCTAATTAACGAGGAACGATGCTCGCATGTAGTATCGATCTCACGTCGATGATACAACCGAGTGGAGAGGGATCATAAAGGATGAAGGGATACCCGGGTGAGGGGGGTTGAAAACGCGTGCAGCGCGATCGTTGCCACTTATCACCATCAACGACGGTATGAAAACGTGCATCGATTTACACACCTCTTTTTTATCATTGCCTTTTTACCCCCTTTTTTATGCACTTTTTTTATTTACGTTTTTGCTCCGGTTCGCCGTATGCGATACATAGATGCAGCCCGGTTCTTACGCGAGCGGGTGAAATTTATTATCGCGCGGAGAGTGAACACGGGCCAAGAGGTCGGTGGTATTATCGAGCAATTTGTTTTGACGTATCGATTTAACCCCGTCGCCCGTGCGTCCATTATTTCGAACAGGTTGCTAACCGTCCATATCGCTTTTTATTTTACATTCGATCGACACGCGTATTATACCATGGTGCCATGGCGTGCCGTGAAATTGAATGGCCGGCCGCACACTGGCCATTGTTTTTCTTTCTGTTTCAATCGTGTCGTGAAAAAGCTACACTTTGTAATAATTTCCCGTAAAAACGAGAGGTCCCGGTTCATCGAAAACGCAAATGAATTTTGACGGTTCGTTTTCATTTCGATAATCGCATGAAAATTATTAAAGAATTGAAATAAATATATACATATTATATGCATACATTTTAATTACATACTATTAAAGAATTTCGTATGATTTTCAGTAATGGAATTTAGTTTGTATATAATTTAAAGATCAATTTTATTACAGCGTTTTGTATCATTTATTTCACGAGTATTAATGTGTATCAAACTGTAGCAGAAAGTATCATATTGAAATTTAATTGAGCAAACGATTAACAGTACCTCACAGGGTTTAAATTGGTCGCTATTAGTTTTCATAAAGCGACCAGAGGATCAGTTCGAATTCGCGAATTTAAAGCAGCACGGCGTATTTTAACTAGAGGCCTTTTAATTAAACTACCATTCCGTTCACGGGGGTGCAGGACGCGAGGCGGCCTTCCGTCTGAAATCGAGAGTCGCGTCATTGAAAACGACGCGGCGCGTTCTCGGGGATCATAGTACTTAATCGTTTCGCGTCATTGGAAAAGGAATGTCGGGATGGTTCTCCTTTTGCGCGGGAATTCTTATCGGAATCCGATACTGCGGGTGACGGAAGGGATGAAGAGCGGAACGAAAGGATTGGGGGTTGCGCGCACAGGTGGAAAAGGAACGAGGAAACGGGGCCATGGAACGGAGCCAGGAAACAGAAAACGTTAAAATCGAACCTACTATTCCTCGCTCTCTATCGCCCTCTTCGTTGGAAAATGCAATTTATCGCAAGTCGTGTTTTTTTTTTTTTACCTTAACCCCCTCTCGCGCTCATCTCGTTACAGAAACGGACGAAGTTACTCTCTAAAGAGAGAAGACGTCTTACGCGCTTGTCATTTCTTACCGCGTCGCGCTGTTCGTCCTTCATCCGATTTATTTTCCCTCGCTTCTAATCACATTTCCGCCCATCCTCCTGCTCGCGAGTCACCCTCGACTGTGAAATTATCTCGCGACGCGCGCCCGTTGTCACGTGTAATAAGCTTGGCTCGATTTGAAACCCTCGTCGGGTTTCTCGGTTTGTTTGATCTCAAAGTGGAGCATGGCACAGAGGAATAGTAATGTCCTTTTGTCTGATAAAAATTGACTGTGTATTTTATCAGTGCCTTAACTATGGCACAGAATCAAATAGATATAATGCGGTTTTTTAAATTTACGTACAAACATTTCAGTGTCCAAGGAAATTTATAAAAGAATGAAATGATAATAGGTGCACGATTTTAATGATGGTGTCCGCTCGTATAAAAATGAATTTATCGGGACACTAAATTTAATAGTCTGTTCATCGACGCGCGCTCTTGGAATTCAATGTTAACCAATCCTACTGGAATCGCCTATCCGATTAGCATAATGTTACATTATGCAAGCATCGCCAGGATTAAACCTTCATTATCCGACGACTATTTAGTAAATGGACTGCGGAAAACAATCGGTAAATACGATAAACGACATGAATCGTCTTTATGCTCGCGATCCACAGTATAGCGATTACAATTTCCATTCGCAATTCAAACATATAGTAATATAGAATAATCATCTCATTTACTATTATTAATGTTACCTGTTGCAATTTAATAATACCGATCAAATATTCATTTAGTTCAATTTTTCTGCAGAACTTACTTTTGACAACTTTCTGACAGATTCTCAGACAAAAGAAACGAATTCTTTGTTGGTCTTTGGCTCGTTTCGTATTCTTTGGTATGCACCCTTCATTCGCTGCCGTAAGCTGGATAAATCATTCACAAGCACGTGACTTGCGGTACTGGAACCAAGACATGTATTTTCCCTAAGGGTTGATCTGTTGGCCTCATACAGTATTCATTCTATCAATTAGTATTAGTATTCAATATACTCCTCCAGTCTTAACAACATTTCTTTCACTAACTTTCACAACTGAAGTCGTGCTTCGTATCAGTTTTAAGCAACTAATATTTTATCTTTTAACGCAATATTTATTGCACTTGAAAATATACACATATGCCCTTGGTTATCCATTTAAAATAACGATAAAATAATGTATATGTATGAATAATAATAATGACATTTACGGATTTAATTCATTAATTCAGAGAAATATTACATTATGTATGAATTAGATTTGGTCACTTTATAAGCCAGAATTGCTTTTGTTACCGGCTGCCAAAACATAGCTCACGTGCTAGAATTTTTCCTGCCTCGGCAAATACACTACTTATACTGGCTACGAGAGCCTCTATCCTATCTTTTTCGGTTTGTGTATCCAGCGAACGTCTGAAAGACGGTGGCCTCTCCAAGATCCCGCGTAGCATTTTGCTGGCATTTACCAAATTAAGAAGGGAGACCTCACAAAGGAACTCGCCAGTGAATAGCCGGCAGGATAGTAACGCGGGGAAAAGGTTGGAACCGAATCAAGAAATAATACTCCCGTAGTAATGATGCAACGTTCGACCCACCCCTAACCGTCACTCTCCCTCTATCCACCCCCGAGGAGGCCACCCCCATTTTTTGCTCCCTCGACTACGGCCTTCGTTTCGAAGGAGCAACGATAGCTGCACCATTGGAATATTGTATTACCAACATGTACAGGGGTGATTTCTATTTTAATATTGAATCGATTTTTCATTTTTCTATTGTTAGAACGAAGGTCTTTCAAAATAAACAATACAATCTTTTGGATGAACGATCAAGCTAAAGTTGATTATAGTAAATTACAAAAGTCTCTAATGTACGCAACTCTTGGATGAATAACGATGCTTCGGTATCTCGTGTAAAAGATGCAGGAAATAGTTTAGTACTAATCTTCTAAAAGCACCGCAGTAAATTTAATACGCGATCGTCTCAATTTCTCTCCGCCGTCCGGTGCCCTGAAGGTTTCAGTAAATTATCTTCCTGCAAATTGAAACGTTTAGCAAACGAAACCTGGTCATCCCCCTCGGTGTACAGAGGAACGATCCGTAACCGCGGGGTTGGTATATATTTCAGTGCTCGAGATAAGAGTGCGTGCAAATACGACGGACAGGGGCTTCTCATTAAGAAAAGATATGCCACGATGATGCGAAAGGAATCTTGAATAATTAAATTGAAGTATCCTTAAACGAATTTTTATGTCAGAATATCCAATTAATATTGTTTACTATTCAACCCCTTAAAATTATCACATTATTAATGAGAGAAAAATGCAATAGGGAAAAGAAAAGAACACAAAGTATAAAGCAATATCAAAGAACACTTTATTGAAACAATATTTTCAGCGAGTATACAAATAATAACTCTCCTTTTTCTCTTCCCAAACATAAACGATCAGGTTCATCAATTTTGTGGGAGACAGCCCAATACCACCAGCAATAGAGGTGTCACACGCTCTTTTCTCTACCATAACAAGAACGACGGGACGATCGCACGAAACGTTTCATGCACGGCTTGTAGTTAAAATTCAGGCCGAACGCAACTTTGTCTTCCATTTCAATCCGCGGACACAAACAACGTCGAAATTGCACGAGTGCCGATATAAATTCGTGGAGTAGAAAGAGATCCATCGTGGAGCTGAGTGGCAATTGGGTGTAATCAATTCGGTGATAATTATTATCGTGAAAGCCGGATATACATTTATGCATGTACATTTACATACGTACATGGTCGTGCCCTGCTGTGCCAGTGTAACGCAGAGTATTTCAAAACACGGATTACCCGATGTTCGATGTCGCCGAGAAAAATTTAATCAACCGATCCCGATCCCGATCCCGATCCCGATCCCGCTCTACGGCCAGAATTTTAATCACAGGAATCATAAAAATCTATTTCGCTACACTCGCTCCCGCGTCGTTCTCATCCCCTACTTTTCCCTCTATTCCGCGAGAGTTCCACTTCCTGGTTCTTTGACGACGAGCGAAGCGCAATTTGTACCGTTGCGTCCGGGGATTTTCATCGTGCGCGACATTTTATTACGAGGAAAAGGGACAACAGTAGGTAGGTGAAGCCAACCGGGACTTTAAGAGACTAGTAGCGTGTACTTACATCGCGCCGACGTACAGGGCGTCCCTCTTGCTGTCTAGATACAGGGTCCTATAGTACAGCATCCCGCAGCTGAACTCCCTCACATGTTCTGCAAACAAAAGCAAACAGAAAGATTAGTAGAGCAGAGAGTGTGAGTAGGGTGAACTTCGAGCAAATTCATTTTGTTCCGTGCTCGGCGTCGTCCGATGGATCGTTAGATTTTCATTACGACTTCTGTAATAATAACGCTTGTCCCTATACCGCCTTCTTTGATTTTCCCTCATGTCTGCCCTTCCAGATTCCCCGCTAAGTCGAACAAAGCCGAGTAAACGCGACGACTCATATCAAGCGTCATAAAGTTCGTTAGAATTACAGGACACGTAACAGAACGAATGACGTTTATAGTTTCATCGAGGCCACGCAACGGAACTTTTATTGCGAAATGAGAACATCGACAATGAGCAAAACAAAAAGCAGAATTCGTGGATTAAATCGAAAAATGTTCCCTAAACTCGAAAAACAGGAATTGTTCGAGAATTCTAATGCGAGATTTCTGCCAACTAGTAAAACTTTGCAGCAGCTCGAAAAGTTGAAGAGCAGCGTGCGCGATGGATGTAAATAAATCTTATGAAATCGCTGTCGCGAGTCCGCCACGCGGAAAGCTTCGAATTATACGATGCTAAAAAATTGGATTTCTCGCTCGGCTCTTGGCATTTTATAAAGAAAAATACCCGAAGGTTGCGCAGAGAGCGTGTGGCCATTTTTCACAACATTAAGTCAAGCCGGTAATCATTTAGGAGCGCGAGCTGGGTAAGAGTCGAAGGGGTCGCTCGCGCCACATCCTAACCATTCTACGGACTCCGTCCTTCCTTCCTTCCTCGTTGCCTCTTCGGAAAATACCCTTCTCACCCCCTATCCAGCCGACACTGATCTGCTTAACATATGAAAGAAAGCCGCCCTTTCCTAAATACACTCGTTCTCCACTCTGGACTAACACAGCGCGAACAATACTATATTTTACGCGGTATCAGGAGGGGCTGACGTGAAAGGGGTCCAAACGGCTGGCTACATAGTACATAGCTAGCCAGCTCGCTCTACCGTCGTCGTTCTTCTTTTTTCCTTTCCCACGTGTTTACACCGAACGATTCTATCCGCTATCTCATCCTCCTTCGCCATTCTTCGCCCGCGAGCTCCTATGAATGAACGAATGAATGCGAAAATCCGATCTCGCGTTCTCTATCTTCTTTATCTCGTAACGAAAAGATAACTCGTTACCTGGCATTAGCCAGAGTTAATATTTACAATAACTCGTAAAACTGATTCTAAATTATTAGTAACATACCGAAGTACGCAAATTACCATTCCAAACCAAAATAAATAACAAATTCATTGGGATCAATTATTCATTGCAAAAAATCCAGCCGATGCTCATCTATTTTACTTAAGGATATATTGGCTATACAGTCAATCACAAAAATTTATGCACTTTAGAAACGCATTTTTTAAAAAGAAATCAGACATCGGAAAAACATTGCTAATAATAAACAACAACAAAAATTTTTCCGAGATTTTTCCAAGGGGTACCCCTTCAATTTCTTCCAAATTTTCGTTTTTTGCCAACTCCTAAACCGTTGAATCTATGGGAAAATTGCATAGGACCTTTTTTGTAGAGGACGATGAGATCTACAATTTCTGTATAAAAACTTGTCGCTAGCTTTAACNATTTCCTTCTATACTTTTTAGTATGTAGCTATTTATTATTAGCATTATTCTTCAGACGTCTGATTTCTTTTTAATTATAGGAAATGCGTTTTTCTAAGGTACATAAACTTTTGGGATTAACTGTATAGCCAATACATCCTTAATACAATCGAAACAAATGAGCCAACAAAGAAAATGTTTGTTACAGTACAGTCTTTATTCGAAGCCATTTATGTCATGCTATGAAGCGTATGATATAAAAAACAGAATAGATATTTAGGTGGTCTTCTTTAGGTGAGACAACCTGTATATCCAAAACACGTGACCTATTGCACGAGTCATTGTATGTACATACTGATAAACGCAATAAATAGTTAAATTTTGGGCTTTGCATTGCTAGTAGACTTAAATTTGCAAAGTATATAAAATCCCCAACTGCAATTATTATACATAAATTGTCAAGGGCATTTGATTGCTATTCATAATTCAACACAAAATGATGTATGGGTATGCATACTACAGTATTATATCTATACTGTAATATATACATAATAGCAGGGTATTGGAAATTGGAATATTGATATATATGGTTATTGGTGTACCACAGGGTTAAGATATAATCATATTGGAAACTGGTATAACATATTACCTATCGACAGTGATATATCTTTCTCCTTGCCAAAGTGTTATACAAAAAAAAAATGTGCACGGACAAATTGCTTGACAAAATTTACTGTCGCATTTAACATTCTGTCAATGACATCGAATCCCTTAATTAAGACAAACTGCACCTCTACCCCAACAAACACGCCCACCAATAAAACCAGGCGCAACACGCGATAGGATGCAACGTTATTTGCAATCCCTAACCAACATCGTCCTGCAGTTCGTTAGATCTGGCGCGGATAGACCGCGAGAGGCAGCCTACCCCCGTGTCCCTGGGGAAGACTGAAAATTTATATTCGCTCGCAAATACGACGCGGCGCGGAGGTTCGTTTTTCAAACTCGTCAGCGATGGGCGCGCACGTTACTCTGATTTTATTGCCGCAATAAAATCGTATCGCCTCGCCTGCATGGCAAGATGATGCTCGCACCTGCTGCTCCACGTTCCACGTAAATGCACCTATCGCCTTCCGTTCGTTCATATTCGCGACACGCCATAAAATTACCAGACTCGATGATCTTCGCGGTTGTCGCCAAGAGCATTCAACTTCCTAAGCCAGTTTATGCGGGATTATGAGCCTTATCGCATTATGCAAATTTCACCGTGCAGTTTTTGATGTCCGAATAGAAACAAATGTTGAGTATGAGTCGACCGAGACTTAGAAAATGTAAGCGTTCGCAATTTCAAACTCTAAACGTAAATCTTTCTCATGTCCGATACATTTTTCACTAAGCATTAAAAAAAAATTGACAAAATTCATGTGATATTTTTAAACATTTAAAATCAAGATTATCATGATAATTTTGACAAATGATTCGTTTAATGTATGTTCATTTGTTTAATGTAATGTAAATGGTATTGGAAGCAAAATGTGTGAATTGGATGAATCGTCCGAAGTAGAACATGAATGAGCCACCCTTTACGGTTTAAAAGATAAATCCGTTTAGATAATTGGAAAATTCTATTGTTACTATTATTCTGTATTATACACTTCAGCAAGTGATTCATAAACTGTACCAGATATTAATCTCTATCACGCTGACAGGCTAAATAATCTTATATGAAGAATGGCTCAATAACATATTTCAACATCAATCTGAGGTACACATAACTTTCACGCAATGTAGACACATGGAATTTACGATTTTACAGAGGCAAGTAAACAACGTCGAACAATTTTTTATAGATTTTACGCGATGTATTTTTTAGAATCCTACAATAAATTTGACATCTCAAAGGTAAACGACGTTTCGTTGCCGAGTGATTTGGGGGACAATGGATGGCAGTCGATAAATCGGTAGTATTAATAGAAAATGTCGGCTAAAATTATTTACGAGCTGCCCGTTCAAATAGTTGTTAATGTTTTACCCCACTTTCAGAGCGTTCCGCGACCATTCCGCCGTTCGCGTATTTACCGTGACAATAATACGCTAAACCCGGTATGTAAATCGCTAATTGCCAAATATTTACGAGCGCCCTCGCTTGTTGATCGTTTAAGAGGCCAATCCAAAACCCTGTCTCTCTAATCACTCGTTGCCCAATTATAATCCAAATTCGAAATTCTGATAATTATAGGAATAGCCGTTCAAACAGCTGAAGTCAAATAACAAAAAAAAAAACACGGGACCATCATTTACGAGACTTTATATTAAAAAGTAAAGAAAAGAGATGATGATAGTCGTGGAATAACTAAAATAGAAAACTGCGTACATAGATGAATGGATTGTAAATGATAAATTATGAAAGATATTCTAATTAGCAATGTTATTTATAAAAATTTACATTAAAAATAAACGAACTGAAACGGCACTACAACAGAAATGCGATAATTAAAATCTATGATTAGAAATCAGATTCACAGGTGGATAGGTTTTAGAAAGTAAAAGCGTGAGCGGAGATTAATTTAATTCTCTCAGCCAGCGATAACGCGAACCCTAATTTACATAGAAGTAAAGATCTCAACGATGCCATTTGTTACAACGGTACGGGCTATGAAAAACATCGTTGACGCGATTATTTAGTGTAAATTGGCTTTGAACAGTTGAAAAAGTGCCCTTGGCCAGCTATCGGCCAGTGATAAGATCGTTCCTTCGGGGTTGTTAACGCACGGGCCGAGATAACGTTAAACGACCCCTGGCCCGGAAGCTATCCATTTGAGTTCGGTGGTTCCGGCATTGGGTTAATTCGCTTAAGCGATATTTCTCAATTAACTGACCTAATACCCTATCATTTCAACATCTTTTTACTATTATATAGGCATTCCTAATTACCTACGCACAAGACCATTGAATGATATGAATAATACTTTAAATATCAATTTCATTTAATTATTTCCTGCAAAAGTTGCAATTAAACCTATATGAAATTTTATTGCAAGGTTCAATTGTGTTTTTCCTTAATATTATACATTTTTTTATTAGTTATCAAATTCATGATTTCGTGCTATAAGCAAGACCCAGTAGAATTAATCGAGAAATCTAAATTCATGTCGACACTTCTTGAAAAAAAGATAACATTGTAATAATCCATAAAACATTATACAGCGTCACTCTGTCCTTAATTTTCACCAAAAGTAATAAAGTGTGGGAACATTGTACTGATTTATCGTTACATCGGCGTTGATTACGATGCGATATTTTCTGATTGTTTGTATTTCCGTTGTCCTTCACGTCCCAATTAATCCAACCATTTGATATGCGCAATATTTCGTGAGACAACTTATACGTGTAATCAAGTTACGTTGT